TGAATTAAAAAAAATATAAAGAATTAAATTAAAGTAAAAGTAAAATAGAGTAATGAGTAGATTATCACAATAACTCATAAAGTAATAACAATAACTAAAGATGTTTACTAGAACTTATTTAGTTTCTAATGTAATTAAAAAAATATAAGAATTTAAATTAAAGTAAAAGTAAAATAGAGTAATGAGTAGATATCACAATAACTCATAACAAATGAAGTAATAACAATAACTAAAGATGTTTCTAGAACTATTTAGTTTTCTTGTTATCATTTTTGGTAGATTTTTGTTTGCGTGATGTTACATTTTTACGTTTGATCATCATTCACTTCATATATAGAAAGATGTTTCTAGAATTATTTACTATCATTCTTAATATATTTTTGTTAAAATGAAATTACATTTTTACCCTTGGTCGTCCTTCCACTTCACTCTTCTATTATACTAGACTAGATAAGTATAGCCCGTGCTAAACATGGGCCCAACATACTTAATTTTGATGTAAATTTTTGGAAATTCTAACCAAATCTCGTAGTGTTAAGAGCTAATTACATCTTATTTCTATCGTTTTTTAAATTATAAAAATTCCTTAAATTTGGTGGAATCGTTCCGATACATCATATAAAGTAATGTATCCGATCGATACATCGTGTAAAATAGGAATTTTTTTATAATTTTTTCAAATGGTAATTTTTTTTAAAGAATATGATAAAATAAGTTGTGTATCTAGATAATTTTTCCAAATATTTTCGTAGTAAAATAGAAATTATACTTGATCAAATGCATATGTCAACATTGGCAGAACATGTCATTTTCATGCAAATATACGAAATAGATAAATTGAGCTCTCCACAAATGAAATCATCTTCTTGAAATCATCTCGATCTTCCTTGGAAGATCGATCATCTTGGGCTCGATCTTATTGGACTTTCTATGATTGAAAGTTCCTGTTTTGATGCATTCGATTGTCCCCGACTTCCTAAAAGAACGTTAGTATGTCGCTCTTTATGTACATACGTTTGTTTTTCTTCTCTATCATATAACAAATCTATTACAAGTACATATGAAATTATTTCCTATGACCAATAGTCATAACAATCAGCTTGGGATGAACTGCGAGCAAGGAAAGCAAAAAAGAAATATCAAAGAGTTATAAAATAGAAGGTACATACATATTATTTCAATTTGATTTGATTTCTGTTAGGCTAATTTAAAAAACCATTATTTGATGTTTTCTCCAACCCGCACGTGTGATTATCATTCTATACAGGGGCGTATCTAGAGGGGGTGCCATGGGCTCACGTGAAGCCATGCTCCCCTCTCTAGATCATATATATTAGTGTTATATTTTAAGAAAAATATTTAAATATAGATGTGTGAACCCACATTTAAAGTATCAGATAATAATACGATGATGATTGGGTTGTTGCCCAATATGTGTCTAAAAAAGTACCACTGGTTTAAACAAACTTTGCAGAAACACAAAGTTACCAAAGTTTAATTCACAAAAAACTAAAATCTGTAAAACATACTAGAATCTGGAAAAACAGAACGGAAAAAGATCAAGCCCACTGAATGCACAGTGTCCCCTTAAGGAAATTATTCCCCTCTAGTATCCGAGGTTTGATTTGAAATATGTCCTCCCAGGATAGAATGATCTCAATCTCCAGTGTATTGATACCCAAAACTTTGGTGTCAGCGAGCCACTCAACGGCAATAAAAGTACACAAAAAAAATATTTGTGCAGAAGAAGAAGAAGAAATCAGAAATTTTCGTAAGTAAAAATTCTGAAGAATCAGTGGTATTTATAGCCAAGAAGCACTGGTTCCGAAAGGTTGCAACCTTTCAGAAACCACAAGAAAGTTTGCAACCTTTCAAACGGTCATGGTTGTTCTGGGAAGTTGCAACCTTTTGGAATAGTCATCTCCAACGGCGAAAAATTCAAGTTAAAACGGGAAAGTGTTTTAAATAAAATGGGTCGTGCGGAACTGAGTCGGGTCGAAACATTTCGATTAATTAGCTAAATAATTGAAACGTTTTGGCCATTTAATTTAATTTAATTAATTAAACAAATAATTAATTAACTAATTAAAACAAACTTTGTCCAAAAAATAATCTCTCGATCGATCATTTACCGAAGCCAAAGCCGAGCGAGCGACGACGACGGCGCGAGGGGGGTCCCTCTTTCCAACCCTTTTAACAACTAATAGAAGTGTTTCTCTATTTAAACACTTCTATTTTTCTTTCCACCACCGATGAGGGAGAAATGCCCTTTTTACTAAAGCATAAGAGAACTTTTCAAGTTCCTCTCTTTTCATCTTCCCTCCATTTCTCATTAACTCTTGCTATATATCCAACAATCCCCCACATGAATGGGGAATGGTTATAACATAGGGATGCACGGACGAGTGTGTACTTTACAAGCAAGGATCAATTGCATCTGGATAAGTAGGTTTCCCCTTGGACTTTCCGTGGTGAACATATGTCGGATATACTCGGCTAATCGGTAGATACAATATCTTTGAACCGTCGAGCTTTGGTGTATACCTAGACAACCATATGTCACACAATTAATACCATTTATCGTTCTTACGGTTGTATTCGTTTCAGCCATGAAAGTCTGAAAAAAAATATATCATGCCAAAGAAATAGGTCAAGTATGAAAAAACATCTATGAATTCAGCCATTAAATTGATTTTTTTTTGAAGAGATTCAAGAGAAAGCTTAAAGCAAAAACTGAGAAAAATACTAACCTGAAATTGCTACCACCATCAGTGTGAAGAAAATAGTTTCTATTTATTAATTAATTAAATAATAGAAGTAAGAAAAATCCAATGGAGAGGATGCATCTAGAATAAAGTTGAGTGTTTGTGTGGTAATAAAGTGATCTTGGGCCATTGAGTGACACGTGTAGCAAGAAGTATAGATATTTGATTAAGTTAAATGACTGATTTGCCCTTGGTCGTCCATCCTTCACATTTCTATATAATAGAAATAGAAATATAGTAACTAGATAAGCATAGCCCGTGCTACACGGGCCTAACATTTTATTTTTGAAGTGGTTAAATAAAGAAGACCCGAAATTTTGTGAACAATGCGGAGTCAAATTTGTTGATTCTCGGATACGAAGGATGTTTTTTTTTATGCTTCGAAGACCATCTGTAATTAAATAAAGTAAATTAGTATTACAATACAATGAAGAAAGATACCGATTTTTGCATGTTAAACTTTGATATTACAAGTGAATACATTAAATTATTAGCCGAGTATATCAATTTTCATATTGATCAAGAATTAGATGGAAAAGAAAAAGGAAGCAGCAATGCACTCCGCAGCAATGTTCTCATCATAAGTTTTGAAGGGTATGTGGTGTGCCGTATGATGAACCATTGTAGAAGCACTCATAAGAATTGAAATGACAAAGCCACCTAAATCAAGATTCAAAATAGACGTAAGAATCAAAAACTTGTAAAAAAAAAGGCATAGAAATTAGAAAATATGGCTATTTTCAGAGCAAAACAATTAATAATAATGGCATACCAGTGAGCTATAAACATGCAAAGTCGAATAGGGCCATAATCTAATATAATTGCCTTCCTTAGAGCAGGGACTGAATTGAACTTCACCTTCCAAACAGGCTGCCAAGCTTTGTCTTAGTGCAACCTGGAATAGAGAAAAATGTGAAAGTTATAGTTTTTACATATAGATGAATAATGAGTATAAAATGCAAGAGTCTAATATAAAAAATTGTAAGGGAAGCTTCATAGATGGAAAAAGATTTATTTAAGTGGTTGCTTTGATTACCATTTCTTGAAAGAGCTGTCATACTACATTCATATATACAGGCCGCAACAGTAACTAACATGAAGAGCAAATTTAAACATTGATAACTCTGACTTCCTTTATTTTAAGCTATCAACCACATATATGCCTATAATTTGACTTGTGTAGGATCAGTTGGCAAAAGTTTACGGGTCACAAAATTTATAAAATGGATTTCGTTTTCCAATATAGGCAAGCTTTTAAAGGTACACAATGTCAACAGGTACGGTATTCCTGTCTAACCAGAGTCCAGTGGTATAAGCCTTGAATTTCCAGCTGAACAGCTAAATACAATAGACTAAGTCGTTGGCATTTCACAGGATATGCCACAAACAAAGATGTAATTAACTTGAAGAAAACAAATGGACAAGAGTCATTTGACTAACATGTTTGTTTTTGCGTGATGCCGATCATGCTTGAACCTTCATGGCTCATAAGGATATAACAATGACAAAAAGGTTAAGAGTTCCAACAGTATCTTCCTATGATTTGTTCTTTGAGAAGGATTTGTGATCACAATCATGTTCTATTATAAAGAACTTCACAAATAAAACCAAACAAAGAAAACTGACTTTGAGTTTTATGGTTAAGAAAAGGATATAAATAAAAAATAAATAAGTAAATAAATAGGATAAATCCCGATTTGGAAATACAGAACTCACCCCTGTAACTGTTGTTCTTGTCCAATCCCAGGCAGTAGATACCATGGAACTTTGGCAATCATGAATTGCAACAGCTTGTACAACATTTTTCTTTTTAGAGTAAATTTCACATTGTGAAGGTGCTATCAGAACTGCAACAGCTTGTACAACATTTTTCTTTTTAAAGTAAATTAAGCAGTATTTTTGTTTCGAGCTTATCTGGGTTAGACTTTCCCACTTAAAACAGTATGTTCATGTTCATATATTCAAACAAAAGACTGTACAGTAAGACACAATGCGAAATTCATCCAAAACATCAAAGAGATAACATCCCCATTGTTCATACTATCTACCATTGTTAAACATATAAGAATGGAAAATTTAGTTAGGATCTTGTCACTTAATGACAATGAATAGAGGTCCGAATCAAAGAGACAAAAAATTATCTTGGAGACGTCATATTTCTAGAGTGAGACATCAGTATTCTTACAAAGGTAAAAATGTCTACTATTTTGGTATGTTTGCAGTATAGAGAAACATTCAAGCAAAGAAACTTAAAGACTTTGTCTTGCAGAACTTCATCACCACATTTTGCTTCTCAACATTGTCTCTCAGAAAGTGATGCCTGACATCTATGTGCTTGGTCCTCTTATGCTGAACAGGGTTCTTGGCCATGTTCATTGCACTAGTGTTGTCACAAATAAGAGGAATAATGTCTGTGAGTACACCAAAGTCTTCTAGCTGCTGCTTGTTCCACAGTAGTTGTGCACAGCAGGATGCAGCAGCCACATATTTTGCTTCGGCTATAGACAAAGCCACAAAATTTTGCTTCTTGGTCCCCTATGAGATCAGTGATGATCCAAGGAAGTGTGTCATGCCTGATGTGCTTTTTCGATCAACAAGAAAACCTGCATAATCAGCATCAGCATAACCAGTAAGATCAAAGGAGTCCCCAGTAAGATAGAAGAAGACCAGGTCCTGAGTTCCCTTCAAATATCTCAGAATTCGTTTGGCTGCCTTCAGATGAGACTCATTTGGTGCTGCTTGAAATCTTGCGCACATCCCTACACTGAAGACTATGTCTGGCCTGCTTGCAGTGAGGTACATGAGTGACCCAATAATTCCCCTGTACATGGTCTGATTGACCTCAACACCTTCTTCATCCAAGTCAAGTTTCACAATTGTGCTCATAGGAGTATTAAGAACTTTTGCCTCAAGTAGATTGAATTTTTTTGAGCAATTCTTTTATATACTTCTTTTGACATATTGAGGTGCCTTGAGGAGACTGTTTGATTTGCAAACCTAGGAACAAGGTGAGCTCCCCCATCATGTTCATTTCAAATTCACTACTCATCAAATCAGCAAACTCTTTGCACAGTGAATCTAAGATGGCTCCAAAGATAATGTCATCTATATATACCTGCACAATCAACAACTCCTTACCTCTGGATTTTAGGAACAAGGTATTATCAATTTTACCTCTTTTGAACCCATTGGCAAGGAGGAACTTTGACAGGCGTTCATACCAAGCTTTGGGAGCTTGCTTTAAGCCATACAAAGCTTTATCCAATTTTAGCACATGATTTGGTAGCTCTGCATCTTCAAAGCCTGGGGGCTGTTTCACATACACCTATTCCTTCAAGTTTCCATTCAAGAAAGAACTCTTGACATCCATCTGAAATAGCTTGAATTCCATATAGGCATCAAAGGCTATCAAAATCCTAATAGCTTCCATTCTAGCTACAAGTGCGAAGGTTTCATCGTAATCAATTCCCTCCTCTTGGTTGTACTCCTACACTACAAGTCTTGACTTGTTTCTGGTGATGGTTCCATGCTCATCGAGTTTGTTTCTGAAGACCCATCTTGTCCTTAGATGGTTTTGTTTAGTGGTCTGGGGACCGGGTGCCACACCTTGCTTCTTTCAAACTGATGGAGCTCTTCCTGCATTGATGTTACCCAATCTGCATCCTGCAATGTTTCTTTGATATTCTTGGGCTCAATTGATGACATGAAGGTTGAGTATGCAACTAGATTTCTTGTTCTGGATCTGGTTTGTATTCCAGAGTCAAGTGCAGAGATAAGATTGTCCAATGGATGTGAGGATTGATGTTTCCATCCAGACTTTCTGGTAATCTCTTCTTCTTTATCGGTATCAGATTCACCTTCATCATCTTCCGGATTTTGAGATAATACCTCCTGAGTTGAACCAGAGGGACTATGTACTCCTGTGTGTTCTGCACCATTTTCCTTTACATCTTGATCATCCTGTTTTCTATTGATCAGCTCCTCGAGCTCATGGTCTTCTTTGTGCTCATCCCCCTTTTCCGATTCATCAAATACTACATGTATGCTCTCTTCAACACATAGAGTTCTTTTGTTAAAAACCCTGTAAGCCTTTTCTTGTATAAGAGTACCCAACAAACACCCCCTTCATCACTTCTTGCATCAAACTTGCCAAGGTCATCATTTTCATTATTTAGTACAAAACATTTGCATCCAAATGGCTTGAGATGAGCAATTGAAGGATTTCTATCATTGAGCAATTCATAAGGTGTTTTCTTAATCACATACCTGATAAGACACCTATTTGTGACATAGCATGTTGTGTTGACTGCCTCTGCCGAGAAATTCATTGCAAGCCCTGAATCAATCAGCATAGTTCTAGCATTATCCACCAATGTTCTATTCTTTCTTTCAACAACTCCATTTTGCTGAGGAGTTCTTGGTGCTGAGAAGTTGTGATTGATTCCATTTTCAGCACAAAATCCTTCAATTTGAGAGTTTTCAAACTTTGTGCCATGATCAGATCTGATGCTAGCAATCTTGCAGTTTACTTTCAGTTGAATAGCATTGGCGAAAGTGATCAGAATTCATGTCATTTCATCCTTAGTCCGCAAAAATATATTCTATGTAAACCTGGAGAAGTCATCAACAACGACAAGAATAAATTTCTTACCTCCTCTGTTTTGAATTCTGACTGGTCCACATAGGTCCATGTAAAGAAGCTCTAGAGTTCTGGTTGTGCTGACTCCTTTCTTAGCTTTGAAAGATGATCTTGTTTGTTTTCCTTTTGCACAGGCATCACATATTTTATCATTTGAAAACTTTAGCTTTAGCAATCCACGGATCAGGTCCCCTGCAATTTGTTCAACAAAGAAGTACTTACATGACCAAATCGTCGGTGCCATAGATTTGCATCATCAGTTTGAGCACTCAGACATGAAAGACTGTCCCCTTCAATAGTGTCAAGATCAGTAACATACATATTTTTGACTCTTGTGGCAGACATAACAACTCTTTTGGTTTCACAGTTTGTAACCAAACATTTATTATACATGAACTTGACTTCATTTCCCTTGTCACAGATTTGAGATACACTTAAGAGATTGTATTTCAAACCATCCACATAGTGTACATTCTCTATAGAATGATCAGCAGATCTCCCTATCCTGCCAATACCAAGAATAGAACCCTTATTTCCACCACCAAATGACACACCACCACCTTGGTGTGCTTCCAAAGAGAGGAAGTTTAGAGTGTCTCCAGTCATATGCCTTGAGCATTCACTATCCATGTACCAGCACTGACTGCTTCCTCTCTTCTGCACAAGAATCACTTATTAGACTTAGGAACCCACTTCAAATGGAGTTCCTAAAAACTGTCAAAAGGCTTAATGAGAAACCTTCATGTCCATGGTGGCAAAGTGTTCCTGCTAAAATGGTAACGGGGACCAGGTACCTTTTTCGTTTTCTCACAATTTTTCTTTGATTTAAGAAACTTCTCCTGCCTTTCTTTCACTCCTCTCAGTATCTCGCACTTTTCTTTCAGATGACCATTTTTACCACAATGGATACACAACAAGTTGTCAGAGACAGACACATACTTACTATGAGGATTGTAAGGAGGCTCTATCTGTCTACAACCTAATCCCTTTTTGTTGTTGAACCTTTGATTTTCTAAGTTAGAGAGAATCTTAGACGAATCAGTCCATTTGAGAGAGTGGTTCAACTCTTCTTTGATCTTACCCAGATTATTCATTAGTTGAGAGTTCCTTTCTAGGGAGGCAGCTAACTTAGACTCAGAGGTCTTAAGTTTCTCTTCTAGTTCAACCTCAAAGTTACTGAGTTTACGCTTCCCACCCTTAGAGGTTCCATGTTCCTCATTGGGTTTAAGACTACATGTCTCAAGGGTGCCTATTCTAACACTCATTTCAGATATTTGAGAGTTAAGAGTTGAGTTTTCATCCTCACACAACCTCAACATTTCACTTATTGTCAAATTTTTAGAAATTAATTCATCAACTGAGTCAATTAATAGAGCAACAAGTTTTCTCAATCTATTAATGGAAAGAGTGTCTAGATCATCCTTGAGATAAAAAAGGGTTACCTCATTCAAATCCTTCTCATCGTCAGATTTTGCCACTAGTGAAAAAATGGAGTTGTAGACAATTTCATCATCTTCTACAGCCATCATCGAGACATCTTCTGGGCTATCTGTTTCTTCTTCGGATTCGCTAAAGGCACTTCCCCATACAACCAAAGTTTTTTTCACCAGTTGATCAGCATGAGCTTTCCTCTTGGCATAGTCTAGGACCTGGTCCCTTCTGCGAGGTCTAAAGTCCTGAGTTTCCTGCTTCTGGCTGGGGAAATCTCTCATGAAGTGACCAGGTCTGCCACATTTATGATAAAGATCATTTGCATTTGTTGTTCTGCTGGTCGAAGCCTTCTTTTGAAACCCTCCATGTTTTTTGATGATCTTTTGAAACCTTCTAGTAACATATGTCATTTCATCATCCTCCTCAGTTACCTCAGGTTGAGACATTTTCAGTGCAATTGATTTCTCCCTTTTTCCCTCCTTCATGCTTGTCCCTTGTTTCTTGTTCAGCTCGTACGTGTGGAGATTTCCGATCAGCTCATCCATGGCAAGTGTCTTCAGATCTTTTGCTTCTGTTATAACATCAACTTTACTTTCCCATGACTTGGGAAGTACCTTGAGAATCTTGCGAACTTGCTTTATTAAGGGAATAGGCTCACCTAGGCACCTCAGTTCGTTGGTGATGGAAGTGAATCTTGAGTTCATTTCAAAGATAGTTTCACCTTCCTTCATACAAAAGTTCTCATATTGAGTCGTAAGCATATCGACCTTAGACTAATTTACTCGTTGTGTTCCCTCATGGTCTGTTTGATGAAAATCCCATATCTCTTTGGCTGATTCACAGGCAGAAATTCTATTGTACGCATCTGATCCGATTCCACACACTAGAATCTTCTTTGATTTATAGTTTTTCTCTATCTTTTTCCTGTCCATCTCATTGTACTCCTTTCTTGGTTTAACAACTGTTGTAGTCAGTTCTCCGTCTTTCACTTCCTTAGTGGGAATGTATGGTCCATCGTGGATTACATCCCATAACTCAGTGTCTTCAGCATTGATATAGTCAGGAATACGATTCTTCCACCACCCATAGTATTGTCCATTGAAACGGGGTGGTCTGGTAGAAGACTGACCTTCCTCCATATTGAGTGGAGCAGCCATTCCTTCAAGATCTTTTCATTTCGTGGTGTTACCCAAACTGAAAAGTCAAGCTCTGATATCACTTGTTGGAATGTATGCGTCCACTTAGCTCTGATAGGACCAGGTCCTCAGCACGATTTATAATGATAACAGTAGATAAATACTGAATGTAAATAAATGCTGAAAGTAAATATTGTACAGACAACTTTACATGGAAACCTCCTTGCTCAAGGGAGTAAAACCACAACCTGTCTCACAGGAATTTTCAAACTGCATTCACTAATCTTCTCCAAGCAAAAGTAAAATACAGTTTACAACATGAAATTAACCTTCTAATCTCCATACTAAGTAATAACACCCATTACTTAAACGAGCCTAAGAAGATACAACACTGTCCACTATACTAATCCAGACTGATTAATATAGACTTTGGTGTAAGACACTAAGTTACTCACAACTAGGTTCTTACAATGATTCACAAAAGCTTGAAATGTTTCTAACACAAACGAAACGATTCCTACAATATAAACACGATTACAAGCTATTCAAATAACAGTTGGTACATGAAGCAATGAAGCACTCTATCAGGTCCCTGCTGTTTTTCAAGCTTGAAACTCTCTCTTTTGAATGAATGAGTAATCTTGTTGTTTGTTTCGGAATATATTAGTCATGAAGAGTTATTATCCAATGTACAAACAACCTCGTCGCTTCTGATTGGTGTAGTACACTGCAGCTTCACCAACTTTCTGACGCAGACAGCTTTACCAGTTGTACAACATATGACACTGGACGAGTATACTTTGCAGAGGACCAGGTCCCTGCACTTGTGAGGAGATCATCAAAACATCTAGGAGCGTTGACACTTATCACATATCCAATTTGAAAAAGAAAGGACTAATTTGAATCTCATTAAACAAATGAGTTGAGTTAATATCTTAAAAGGTCACTCAACTATGAGAAATTATCTAAGAATTAAAGTCATTGAATTTTGTTTTGTATTAATAAAATCACCCAACTTAAAAAATTTATCTTCAAATATCACTCAACTAAATTTATCATTAAAACAAATTTAGCATGACAATTTTTTTTTCTTATGCCATTTAATCATGAACCCACCAAAAAATATATTATGACATAATAGATGTTTGAAATAACCACAAAAAATTATAAAAATAATATCTATATTTTGCTATGATTTCTAATCTTCTTCTTCTGAACCTCAACAACCTCTCTTAGAAGTACAAGATTGTCCAGCAGTTTTAATACCTTTAATTACAACTTTGTCAACACCTTGAGCAGCCAGTACATTAGTTTTAATAGTTATTACTGGTTCTGCATTTAGTTCCTTGTGAACAAAAAAAATAAAGATCTTGGCAGAGAAAACGTTCAAATTGTATTACTTTTAAAGTAAAATCATTAGTTGAGTTATGGTCGATTGATATGCCAAATTTAAATTTTGGAGATTATCGTTTCACGTATCCAGGTAATAATCTCAGTCATTCGAAGCTTCATCAGTTGGAATATAATTTATTTTGTCATATCAAATTTATTTTAATGATTAATATAGTTGAGTGATTTTTGAAGATAAAAGCCTTAAGTTGAGTGTTTTTATTGATACATAACATAGTTCAATGACTTTTCTAGATAATTTTATATAGTTGATTGACCTTTTAAGATATTAACTCTCAAACAAATAGATGAATAGGAACAGAGCAAAAAAGGAAACACCTCTAGAAAAAAATTAAAGAACAGGAAAAAACAAAAACACTCAATTTTTATAATTTAGCTGTTTGACATGGAGTAGTGTGTGGATTTTTATGCCACAAAGATAATATGTCACAAATTAAAACAAAATGAGTGGCTTATTTAATTTAACCCCATTCAAATTGCAGAAATATGATATGTATACTTTTCTTGAATAGGAATAGCGTGCATGATATATTGATATCAAGAATCAGAACATCATGAGATGACAAAGAGCAAGCTCTTACTCAATGCAACATCACGGCCATTCAAGGTTTTCTCCACGGAGTTTGTGAAGTGAGATTGAGATTTCTCAAAGTCGGTGTAATGTGAATCCTGCAAGCTTTTAATCAAGTGCCGAATGTAGACATGAGGTCACAAATTCTCTTGATTTGTATAGTGAATTTTCTTCTCTTTTTGATTTTCATTCTCAAGTTTTCTTTTTAAAATTTGTAATAATTCACTTAAAAGTTCTCATTACAAGAATTGTAGAGAAAGACAAAGAAAATAAGAAACAAAAGAATCTGAGCAATAAATAGAAGGAGCATACCTGAAGAGACGAAGATAAGTGAGAGAGTAATTTTTAGAATGAATATAGTGTGAGAGAGAACTTTTGTGCAATTAATTGAAGGAGATAATTCTGGGCAATTTCTAGAATAAAGATAGTGGGAAGATAATTATAGAATTACCTATGCTGGTGTGTGGTACCCACTTGGAGCTAGCAATCAGATTCCAATTGACACGTGTACAACACTTTAAAGTTCAACTAAAATAGCTTGTTGTTCAATTTTTACTGCGGTGGTCGTCAATGTGATGGCTTTTCTATATAGTAGACTAGATATGGAATGCCCGTGCTATGCATGGCCCAACATGTATGATTTTGAAAGAATAATTACAATTTTTTTCTATTATAGTTTGATTATGATGAACAAATATTGTTGCTATACAATAAAAACAACGGGATACTATATTGCTGAACAGTCAAGCGAAATAACGTTTTTGCCCTTAGTCATTCCTTAACACAGATGATTCTAGAAATTGGATATTTTATAGCGTAAAATTAACCCAAAAATATTTTTAAGTATAATTGGTATTAACAATGGGTAGATTATTTTTTAAGTTGTAAAACACTCAAGTCTATATTTAATTATTTATTTTATATTATAATGACACAAATTTATTAGAATTCGAAGTTAATTTGTCTGTTAGATTGAATTATATCTTATATAAAAATCATAAATCATTATGTATTATCCTCTTGAAATTTATCCTATTCATTTCAATTAATCTGTCATGTTTTTCTTTATAATTTGTTAAAAAGTAATGTTTCTTTTCTTTTCTTAGTTCTAACTCCACATAACATATTAAAGATCACAAGATTAAAAGACATTTAGTATATTTCACATATTTTTAATTTGAAACCACAAGATTAAATTTTTTTCCTTAATTTCTTAAATTTCATGCCAAGTCAAAATAGAACAGACAAATTTAGACGGAGAAATTAATATTTTTTTTATTTATCACTCACACATAAACTATCACATGAAGTTCTATATATGTATAATTTATTTTAATGAACATACTTATTTTAGCATGATACAATATGTGTTTTTGGTTCTCTTTTTCCATGCACAATAACTCATGGAAATAAGTATTCTTGTTATTTTTATCAGTTTAGTGAGCAAATTGCAAACAATTTCAAAACATAAATGCATTTTCTCTTTCTTTTCAAAAAATATTATTTAGAACTAAATGTTAAATTAACATGATATTTTGATACATAGATCATTACATATCGAATTGATTTCCTGGCCCAGATATTTTTATCTTCTTCCAAAATTTATTCATAACTTTTAAAATTACTATTAGACATTTTCTAATTTTTTTCATCTCTTTCTAATTATTAATTTACTTAAATTTATTTACTTTTCTAATTAATGTATTTATTTTCATGTGTTCCGATTCTTAACTTCTTATTTCAGACAAAAGAATAACAATATTAAGTAAATAATCTACTATAATTATTTAAATATTAATTTGATTAATCTTAAAATTTAAAATATTCTATTATAAAAAAAAGTTTAATTATTAATGTACGTAAATTGAACAGGAAGAATACTTATTATTTCTCTTCAATATTTGATTCACAAAATTTTAAAACTATTTATATTAAAATTTAGTGAGACTCTTAGTTTACTTTAATTTTATTTAATTTATCTATACATTTTTTTGTATTAATTTTTATTTTTATGCTCCCTAATTAAAAGATCTTTATTTTCATTTAATACATTTTAAATCATTTTTGTTTCTTTTTATACTTATTTTAGTGCAAAAAGTAAAGGTGTTAATGTAATATAAATTGATTTTAAAAAAATGGGTCCCACCATTTTTAGATAGTACGGCTACTTATGATATTTTTATTCTTTTCATGTTTGGAAGTACACGTGTCCATCATAATAATAGCAATTTGGTTGGGTATTTGGGAAATTCAATTATTTTGCAGCACAAAGTACAACTGTTCTAAGCTGATAATTTTGGTAAAATGACAAAAGTGTCCTTGGTCGTCCTCCTCATCACATTTCTATATAATAGAAAAAAGAAATTTTTCGTTCAATCAACTTATTGGTAAAATGCATCGTAGGAAATACATTTTCACAGAAATATTGGAAATGTTTTTAGTTTTCCTGTGTGAAAATACTTGTTTTTTTTTCTTTTTTCCCGATCCAATCAAAATATTTGTGGATATAACCTTTTAAGAATTGCAATTGTGATTGATATTGATTATTGGATTTAACATGTTAACTGGTCCATTGTCATGTTCATTAGAGTGTTTGAAAAATGTGGATCAGCTGGATTTTACTGAAATTTATTATATGGACAAGTCCCAGAAGTGATGTGTTCACTAAGAAATAGTGAATTTTACTTTTGTCTTGTAATTGTTTTATAAAAGTAGGGCCATCATGTAGGGAATTGATCAAAACTAAAGTTCTTAATGTTGAAAAAAACTACATTATTGGTCTTCCTAAAAAGAAATCTATACCAAAGTCTGTAATATTTAGGATGCAAATTAGAAATAAAGGGCGAGAAATTTATTCGTATAAGACATGAGAGGGGAGAGAACTTGAGGAGTGAATGAAATGAAGAATGAGTTGGTGTTTTAGAAAAATCTTATAATATATAGTTTCTAGAATAATCATGTAACTTATGGAGGAAATTTAGTCACTTGAAAATATATTTTGAAAATTTTGAAAATAGAATTTATAGTATTTTTAAATGAT